AAATAATTAAACATTTCAAATGCATCAAAATTCATGGAATTCAAAATCATTCCAGATGTGTGGTTTTAGAAATGTTATATATCATTAAAATTTTCCAAGATGGCAGCAAGTGCAAGATGGTGACAAATTTTTGCTGAGTTTGGAATGATTTTTTTTTTAATATTTGTGTTTTGAATTAATTTCATAATTAATTATTTAAATGCAATGCGACATATGTTTTGATGTATAATAGCGGCAAAAAGTCTCTGCTTTCTGCATAAAGTGCTTGTTTAAGGTTCAACCTTTTGATTTGTCGTAAAATCCTGGAATCCAAGATGGCTGCCACAAAACATGTCTTTAATAAACGGCTGTCCCAGCTGAAAAGATGCCACATTAATCATTCCAAATTACATCCTTTATTACTTTATCTTGCCATTTTCAATGAAATATGTTCATTAGGTTATGTATTTAAGATTTGCTGCAACCTCTGAGACTTTGGGTTTTTAAAAATGTAAGATGGTCTTCATCTATATGACTAAATGGAATAAAACATTTACATGTATATGCAATAATTCCTTTTCATACTGCTAGGGAAGTAAAATAATGTCCACATTTTGGAAAAATCAATATGTCCACTAACTACAATTCAATAAATAATTTAAATTAATTTATATGATACTTTACATAAAATATAATTCTATAAAAATGCAAAATTACCATCAATATTTGCAAACCAGTTACCTTTCACTGAAAATCAGACTATTTTTTGCCCTTCAACTTGCCCAATAGGTGGAAGAGGGATCCAATAATTTCAACCATCTGTGATAATCTACCAGTAGATTTTGGTAGACCAGCTTGAGTTAGTACAAATGTTCAAGTTTTTGGCTTCATATTATTCATTACATGAAAAGATAATAATAATAGCAAAATAATTAAATAATAAATAAAGATTGAAAGAAGGCAGTTTTGGAGAAAAAAACGTAGTCTACAATATTTGAAGTTAGAACAGCAATGTGAACCAAAAAAATCACCAAGGATTTGTTGGGGCCATTTTGGATTTCAAGTTTTTTGTTCTTAAAATGATAATTATAGGAGTAACAATAACTACATGTATAACCAGTAAGTAAAAACCAAATACCATATAAATATCAAAATACTTAACATTTTTCGATCCCAATGCTATTTTTTGAAAGTTTCAACATAAGCTACTAACAGTAGGAACAGGTTAAAAAATCAGCTAAAATCGGCCGCCATCTTGAAATTGCCGCCACCATCTGAGATGATTAAAGAAAGTTTTTCCATCATAAATTACCACAAAAATAAATGTGTTAGTATTTCAAATAAGTTAACATTGTTATTGAAATTAATATGTTTAAAATGTTTGATGTTTTCTTTGTCTCAGAAATGTCAGTTTCTAAACCCAGTGTCACTATGGCAATGGTCACACCCACCACCAGTCTAATGGAGAACAAGCAGAAAATGAAATTTTAGGACGTAAGCTATATATAACAGTAAATGAAAGTCGCTAAATGGGGGTGGGTGGGTTGGATCAGCTTAATAAAATCGATCTAAGTAACGTTCTTTTGAAATATTCCATCAATTTAAGCCAGAGTGTATCATATATGATAGTATACAGAAGTATATTGACTCAAATGTATTCTTTTCCATATCAACTGTGAGTGACTAGCATGTACATGAAACTTAAGGCGATTTCTTAGGTGAAATGTAAGTGACTTGCATTTATTATGGGTTTTATAAATGTGTCTTCAGTCAAGTCTTTGGATTTTGTTGACCATTGGCCGCCATCTTGGAAAAATTTGGGGATCGAAAAGCATAGTGAAATTCTTAGACTACACGTCTGGAATGATTTTGAATTCCATTTAGTTAATGCATTTGAAATATTTAAGATTTTTGGTTTCAGAAATTTCAATTTTAAACCCGTGCGTTACGGCTGCAGCACTCAAACCCATCACCAGTTTAATGGCAAATAAGCAGAAAATAAAAGCTTAAGACCTGAGCTATCAGAAAAACATAGTGAATGAAAATCACTAAAAGGGGGGCTGTTTCGGTATTTGGCCCATAGACTACAGCAATCACAGAACTTGCCATCGGAAATCAAGGTTAATTTTTCTTATGGTTTTCTTGCGACTAATATATATGAAGGTCAAACTGTCATCAAAAGGCGTTTTTCAAAGTCCATTTTAACCGTAAGACTAGTTAAGGCAGGTCACTTTACCATGCAATAGTATATGTAATAGTTTATATGCATCTTTGCAGAAGACAGGGTCAAGTAACGCCCTGTATAGGAGGTCCGTCTTGCGGTGGTATTGGAATCACTTCACTTCCTAACTCTAACAATCCCCCTTTTCTCTTCCTCAGAGGAGCACGACGTATTAGCGAGGGTATCGTCATGAAAGTCATCAAACGTGCAGTTGACAACCAGGAGATGGAAAGGTAAATAGCTGGCGTAGGAATTGTAATTTTGATGTATGTATTATTATTTTTTTATTTTTTTATTATTATATTTTCATAACATTTCGATAAATTTATACAAGTTTGTATAATTTAACCCAGATCCACTAAAATCAGGCGTTGTTTGAAACACCAGTTATTATCAAAGTTTAACCTAACTTCAGCATTGTACAATCCAAACGGTATATATATCCACCTATATTATCATTATTATTAAAATGTTAAAAATGCAAACATCACTGAAGAGCAGTTGTGGATTTAGGGGGTATCAGGGGGTCCTGAACCCCCGTATGGTTTCTGAAAAAAATCATAGAAATGGCCCCCTCTTGAAATTAGAATTTTGACCAGCTGAATCATATTTCTAAACCGTACCATCGTGTTTGAACTAGTGCCCCTTGATCAGCTGCAGCCTCATACATGTATTTATACTTTTCACCTGATGCTTTCATTTTGGCTGTTACAAAACTGTAGTTTAACCTTCAAGCGAACTCCGAAACTCAAAGCCAGACTAACTATCTAACCCTTAAAACAGAACCTCCCGACAGCTTAAAGCTCGCGGCAGTCGGCAAAGTGAATGTGGTTTGAGCCACACATCCTGATGTGGGCTTCTGCTGAACAAAACAAGTTTTGAAAACAGTATGACTATCCCACCTACTTTAAGCCCGCAGACATGAATGTTCTAAAAGAGGGATGGTCTCTCGCCTGTTCATTAGGATACAGGCATGTTTTATTTGATGTTTATAATGTGTGTTCAAGAGATATCGCACAGGGTTTTCTGGAGTAAGAGCGACTAAGCTCCAGCGTGCTAATATGCCCAATATGGGATTAAGGAGGGAATGTAGGTTTGAGATTTTTCTCTTAAAATAAAGGTCTTGGCTTTTTTATTCCTGTCACATTCATTTAACGTATCTTCAAAATATGTAATTTTGCTTGGAACACAGCTTTAACTTCATCGTGTGACGTAATATTGGGATTTTGGGGACAAAAACACCATTTTTATACACCTGATTTTCTCAGGCACCTGGACAGCTATAAACTTGCTTTTGNTGCATATGGGGGAAATTGATTCTTTGTGTTACCTGGAACCCACATTTGTTGTGTAATTGCACTGTTCCATATAACTGGCTCCACAGGATCTGCCGTGTTTAGAAGTCTTGTTCTGGGTGGTTCTGGCAGAATTCTCTCTCACTCAGTATAAAATTGACCTCTTGGTCCACCAGCAGCTCTTTATAGAATTCCAGAAGTGTACTTGCTAAAAATATAGATGAAATTAGTGTAACTGTTTGCAATGCAACTGGATCATCTGTGTAATATAGTGCAAACTATTATTAGGAACCATCTACTGATACATTAGTCATATATAGGATGCTTTTGTAAGATGCTCAATATCATTTTTGTATCACCATACTTGATATTTATATCTAGATAATGCTCACATGTAATGATGATCAAATTAAAATATAAGTATTCATTTTATGTTTTTTGCACTTAATGATAATAAAACTTAAATTCACATTACAATTAAAGCAGTGATATATTAATTTTATTCATAATAATCCATGCTTTCTATATTGAAATAATCATTGGTGTTTGTGTCTCTACACAAAGGAAAGAGGAGAAACAAATTACCTATCCTTATTTGCACAAAAAACCAACCACAAATGTTTGTCTGTTATCTGCAAGAGGTCCAGTCACCTGTTTACAATGGCTGTTCTGCCTCTGGCTGTTCATTCCTCCTAAAACTTGCCACATCCCATGTCTTGCACAACTGGGTGAGATGAAGATGTTTCTGTTGCTGCTTTTTTATGTCTGCTTCTTATAAAATACATGTCCCCCATGTTCAGCCAGGTAAAGTCAGTTCACCTAGAAGACACCATGTTGTATGGAGACTGGAGCTGGAAAAAGAGACATGACAATGTATAAGTGAAGGAACACTAATTATCTTAATACAAAGAAAAGACAAAAAAGCTGACAGTCCACCAGAGCCAGTTGGGAAAAATATTACAACTATGGTACACTGCCAAGTGCCCACCTTATATGGTAGACATCAGTGTTGTGGTGATTGAACTGTGATAAGTTAAAGTGACCTTGTCTTTTCCTTTGGCCACTACATATGAAGAGTAAAATCCTTTTGGAGGCTGCTGGGCACAATTGTGACTGCCGGGACCAGCACATTCTCAGATTGAACACAGTTAAATAAACAGAACTCTGCCATATGATATCTGCTGGAATTTTTGTGAAATTTGCACACAAAATGCCTAACAATTGCAAAAATCTGGGATAATTATATAAATTGCCTGTGACTAATTGAAAGGCATTTTCTGAGGAGTAATTTGAGAGAAGTCACTAAGGAAATTACTAATATAAATTTTAAATCATGACAAAATTACTCAAACTTTAAGGGAACAAAAATGATTGTTGCTTTTTTTTTCTCAAAGGAGGAAGATTAAGAGACCAATTATATACTGTCACGTGACTTGTTAAACAATATCAATCATTAGTTTAGTGTAGCACCTGCAAGCAGTCATGACAATGGGTCATCCCAGGGAAGTAATGACCACTGCTCCACATTGGGTCCAATAAATTTCGTCCCAAACTGACCACATCAAGCAGGCCACTACGGAGATGCTTCACAACAACATGTACAACAACTGTCAAACCATGTGTGTGAACTAGAAAAAAGATAACATTCATTAAACAAGTTAATCGACCACTTGACCACTGATGAATCCAGTAATAAATATCCAGTACTTCAGCCAACAAAGGAACATGTCCTTTAGCCACTATATATAAAGAGTAAAATGCACATGTACAATATTTATTAATAAGTTGAAGTATTCATTTTTTAGATGCTTTGTGCATAAATAATTGATGGATCAAATTAAACAAATGGACTGGTAACAAATGAGAGATGTGGATAAAAAAATGCCCTTAGCAACTATAAAGCTTCAATGCACATGACAATTTAAAGTTTTTAAAATATAGAACCGTGGTAATTATAAAACCCATGCTTTTCAAGTCAAGTTGAAAATCATTCAAATCCAAAACTTGTAAAAACTGGCCTTGTGTCTCTACAGAGGTAAGAAAGAGGACCAATTATACCCACTGTTACTTGAAAAACAAAACCTAGCTACTGTTCATTTTGTGTACTACTTACATGAAGTCCCTGCAGTTCCCTGTTTACCATGGCTGTCCTGTCTCTGGCTCTTCACAACCCATTCATCCTAAAACTTACTGTGTCTTGCACAACTATGTGAAATGAAGGGATATTCCTGCAGCTGCTATTTCCTGTCTATTTCATATTAACAACACATGTCCCCCCATGTTCAGCCAGGTAAAGTCAGTTCACCTAGAAGACACCATGCTGTATGGAGACTGGAGCTGGAAAAAGAGACAAACGATTATATGAATGAAGTGACATAAATTATCTTAATAAAAAGAAAGAACCCTGACAGTCCACAAGAGTCAGCAGAATATTTAACCTACAATATACTGCCTAATATCCACCAAATATGACAGACATCACAGTTATGGCAGGGTGAGTTATGGTGACTGAACAGAGACAAGTTTAAAATGTTTTTTGGAGGCTGCTGGGCACAATTGTGACTGGAACAACTGTCACAATCTTAAATGGATCAAAGTTGAATAAATAGAATTCTGCCAAATCTTCTGGGACTTTTCAGAACTTTGCACACAAATTGCCTATAAACAATGGCTGTAATAATCTAGGATAAGTATATCAGTTGAATGTGCCTTGTAGAAGTACATTTTGTGAGGAGTAACATGAGAGAAGTGAAAAATTTATTTAAATTTAAAGGAAACAAAATATGATAACTGGTTTGTTGATCTACATGGGAAGGATAGAAGACAAATTATCTATTGTAACAGGACTTGTAAAACAAAACCAAGCAATAATTTTGTGCACTACCTCCAAGGAGGTGTTTTTGGCATGGTGATGGGTGATGGTGGGTAATGACCACTGCTCCACCTTGGGTCAAATACATATCATCCCAAACTGACCACATCAAGCAGGCCACTACAGAGAAACATGACACTGTACAACAGCTGTCAAACTGTGTGTGAACTAGAAAAAAAGAAAAACATTCATTTTAAACATTCAACCACTAATGATCAGAAGCTAAAAAATATCAGAATACACAGATGGGGAAAGGTAGCAGACTTTCACTTTACTGTATCTGCCAGAAGATACTCTGTTATCAGACAAGGCCTTCCCAGGCCACGACCTAATCACCCAGTTTAATGCGAGCGTGCATTGCAATTTGGGTTATATTCAAATAGAAGGGCGCGACATACCAATGCAACAAATCGAGTCGCGTGCACAAGACATAAAGATAGCTCAGGTTAGTGTGTCAAGAAATGTGGTAGTACCCCTAAATTCAGCACTTTGGATAACGAGCGAGATCGACGAAAAGTTTGAAAAATACGTCGCTGAAGGTAAAGAAGAGGGACTACTAATACCGAGAACTGTCTTGTCTGAAAATTCAAAACCAGTCGTGTGCCTCGTAAACCCATCTGATCAATACAAAAAATTAAAAAGGGGTCATGTGGTCGCTAAGGCTTGCGAAGTTTCGGAAATTTGAGAAAACCCTGTTTCGCACTTCGGTTTACATCGAGTGGGAGGGGGGTCTACTAAAATTGATCAATCCAGCGCTCGTGTTGTCAGTACTATTGATGAGACAATGACTACCAATCTACTGGTGGGATTACCTGAAATTACGCATGTAAAATCAGCCGTCCCTAAAACCGGAAGGGATTCTACAAACACACTTGTGGGATTCAATTTACCAGTGGAGGATTCAATTTACCCTCCTATAACTGGTAAAATCCCTAGAACAAGTATGCACCCAAACAGGACAAAACTTGTGGTATTAAATTCTACAAGGGTTTGTGGTGTTAATTCCCCTAATTCGGAGAATATCCCTAAAACAAGCACCCGATCTAAAAATGACACAAAAAATAAACAACCTCTGAAGGTGGGTGGAAGTGCTCAGGGCCCTTTAAGGTGGGAATGTAGGTTTGAGATTTTCTCTTAAAATAAAGGTCTTGGCTTTTTTATTCCTGTCACATTCATTTAATGTATCTTCAAAATATCTAATTATGCTTGGAACACAGCTCTAACTTCATCGTGTGACGTAATATTGGGATTTTGGGGACAAAAATACCATTTTTATACACCTGATTTTCTCAGGCACCTGGACAGCTATAAACTTGCTTTTGATGGCATTATAACACTTGAACAAAGTACAACAGCATGGAGTCAGGGATTTTTCTTCAGACACTTGTTGTTGATTTTATCTATAAAAACGTGAAATTACATCAAAATTTTAGGGAATTTTCACTTTCAAAGTCTATAAATTAGAAAAGAGAGGATCAATCAAAATTTCTTAAAAGGCACTTTTAGAGCATACTGTTCATAATAAGCATGGTGAATTTGATCTCCCTCAGGTGTACAGGTAGATAGTTATAGCTTGGTAAGATAACGCTATCTCGTCAATATTGAAAGCAAAGAAAACGAGCAAAAACCCTTTCAGTGAAGTTAATTGTCCATATTAGCAAGTTAAATTGTTGACAGCTTTACCTGTTATCGTTCTGACGATCGCAAAGATGGGTACTCTTTTGCCGGTTGAAATTAGCTTGTTTGCATGTATTTGGATGTCAGAAAATCTTATTTTTGTATCAATCTCACCTCCTGTTAGTAACTTCAAGGGGTTACCGCTAGCACTGCCAGAATGATTGACAGGCAATCAAGTAAGCCCTAATGACCCAAGCAATCAGTGGCCACGTCAATTGCCGTCGGGGCAAGTGTTAGGGATGCGCTCTAGGATATGCACACAATAGCAGCATCGCATGCGGTCTTGTCCACATTCGCCAAGCGAAAAATGGTTCGAAAACACGGTCGTGTTACAGGACGCCGATCGGACCACCAACAACAAGAAATAGACGCAACCAGAAAGGCTTTGTTAGAGGAAATGTCTAAAGTTGGGTGAGTCAGGAAAAATTCTGCGATAATTGTTGAAGAAAAAAAAACACTATGTCGGCCTTTAAAGTGCGTACATGAATCCAGAACTGTACCTAGAATTGATGCTAAGGCTAATTCTTAAGCTCATAATTCGGAGTCTAGCGATATCATTAGATTTATTTGCTTTACTTTCTTTAATGAACATGTATTGAACCTATGCGCCACCCAGTGAATAATTATGCTAGGGTGTGGGCTCAAGTCTTGTATTTACGCAAAACAATCTTGTGTGTTATTCCAGTATATTCCATACAGGTGACTTTAATAAGCAGAGAATTTCTTTATATTCCGTGAAAAATACACTAAATTTATATAAAATAATATCATGGTTGGCCAAAAAATGTACGCACAGTGCATCCGTGCGTATGCCGAGTTACCCCCATGTATATTTTTAAAATCTAACACTAAACTGCATCGACCTGTTGGCGAAAATAGATAGAAAGAATGACGATTGTTGTCACGGGTAGCAAGCAACGGAATTTTCTTCTTTTCTTTTGCGTATCTCAAAAAGTTAACAAGAAAATCGAAAGAACGCGTGTAACAACAAGCAATATTCAAGGGAGAACGAGTATTTCGAGCAAATCCAATGTGTCGGAAAAGATTCATCTTAGCGCTGATCACAATCAAGAGAGACTATCAAAACAGCTTAAGCGGAACAATAGGCACTGCTTTGCCGATCGCTGTTTATGACAAAGGGGGCATGGCGCATCCCTGTTCTATTGTTTCCCTAGACGTGCTGATGCTGCTAAGGTCCGCCCACCGAGTTTACCCATGCCAACGGCCCTTGACAACGAAGGCGGGGCATATACCAGGCCACCGCTGTCGATGTGTGCAGCATCAGAATAATCAGAAAAAACAAATTTTTTGTTCAAAATGTAAAAATTTTATTCTGTTAAACGTTAGATACACGTTTAACCAATAATTAGACATAAAAAACCAAAAATGGCTATTTTTAGCTATATTTGGGTACATCCGCTCCTTAACGGATGCCTCACGTGTTTCTTAAAGTAACTTGGAAGAGTTTTTTTTTTTTTTTCGTACCACTGCAAAAATGTAATGGGCACTTAGATAAAGTCCATGTTTTTGCTGAATGTCGTTGACAAATTAAAAAGTAGCTGTTTTGCATAACGTTCCTTATAAGGTCACGTTAGTTCACGTGAAATGTTCTCAAGGAGCGTGGGAATAGGTGTTAGATGTTTTTGTGACCGCGTGATTTATTCAGTGCTGTCATCGTTGAACTTTTGGTTCATATGCAAACGTCATAACGACGTTACCTTGTCATGCCATTATACGTGTAAATTAGTGTGTACTTATTTTCTGTTCTTTTTTTTATATATTATCAGTCTATACTGTTCTGTAACCCGTTCCATATTTTCTTTCATCTATGTTATACATTGTTGTTTCTTACTGGTCGATTGTTCCCACCCTCGAGTTTCTTTGTCCATGTAAGCACGGGATTCAAACGACTGCACATGCGCGAAAGTGCGTTGTTTGAAATAAACAAGTTGATGAAATTGACGAAGTCTGCCACTGTTTACAGTCTGGTTGATTTAGTTTAATTTGCTTCCTGGTGTCGTTTTGAGAAATTATATTGGAAATATTCTGTTGGTTGTATGTATTAAAAAGTAAAGCCATCGGACTTTCCTTAGAATAACATTTATTTTGCCTTTATTGTGAGGGGATTCCATTTGTATTTATAGTGTTATATATGGCCCCAAGGGAATTTTCCACCACTCCCCCACTCTTGATAAGGACATAAGGACTTGATCGTTGACATGTGCGTTAGTTTCAAAGAGCAGCTCCCGCACACCTGGGGGTACTAGATAAAATCTGAACACCAGGTTTATTGATGAGCTAGAGAAACAAAGGAAGAATTTTTCCTGCAGAGTTTTTGGGTTTGACAAAGCTTACAAATTTGCAAAAAGTTTTGCGTACAGACGCAGAACTTGCTTTTCAAGTTATAAAATGATAAATCGTTTAAATTATTTTATATGTCAGATGAAATAACCTTCAGAAACAAATCCTTAACACATAAACGAATTAGGATTACGGACCATTTTATTACAGCAGTTCCCAATTTTTCTTTAATATACCCCTCTTTTTCTGTTTTTCCTCAACACGTTTTCTTCCATGAAAGTAATGCCTATGCATACGCATGCTTCAAGATACCCTGAGAGCAATTACTTTTATTGATGTTCGCGACCGTGTTTGAACTCAATTGTTAAAAATATTGATATTTAACGTCATTTACAAATGCCAATAATATAACCCCATGAAATAAATTAGATATATTGAAAAATATGAAAGCTCACCAAGACGAGTTTGATACCTGTTTTTACCTGGCTTGGGAAGTGCAGCGGTGCATAATTAACAGGTTTTATTGTTAACGATCTCTTGGTCAACTACAATGCATTTAAAATGCATCAGCAATTAGTAAGCTGCCAACTGACAGTTAATCTGAAAGACTATCAGCTTTTGATATGATCTAAATCACCTGAGGTGACCATGATCTCATCGCATCGCAACTATTGTCACCGAAGTTACTAAGTCACGGAACACCGTCACGGACAAAGAAAAGATTGTGAACGAGTGCTGCAATTTTGGTGAATCCCACGGCAACACACTGAGGCATAACGAAAATTGCTCAACTCCGTTCAACACAACTTTCCTAAACTTCTCTGCCTGTATGCACTTGCAGCTCAGTTGAGTCTTATAAATATATGTTGACCTTTATCCTCATTGTCGTCACAGTACCACGTGACCCCGATCAGTTGCTTCATTTATGCATATTGAGGTGAGGTTTACTGAAACGCTTTTTGTCTACTAATAGTTGTTTTTATAATTTTTAAATGGCGGGGATCGATTAAAACATAACTGTAGTGTATAGATTAAGTGCTGGATCTTCAGAATTCGAGAAATGGATTTTTATATGACTATTGTCCTTTAACCCTGTGTCCTTTGGATAACAACTAATACAGCTATAGGGTGTGTCCTGTTGTGTATTTTGATATCGAGCTTGTATAATTATTTCACTAGCTTTTTAAGACAATTTCCTGAATGTTTGTTTTAAGATAAGGTTTGAAGCCTCATATATAAAACAAAATTCCTGTCCTTCCCATACTAATAGAAGTCCATAGAATCATTCAAATCACACAGGAATAAAACCGAATGAAACACACTCTAATGTTGCACATTCATTGCTTGGAGAAGCCCTATCACAAATGTTCTCCAACAGCTTTACTGTCACATAAATAGAGCGTTCCATATCATTTTTCAGGTCATGTCCAAGGTGCATCACCAAGGAAATCATAATGGAGGTTATCAAACGTGCGGTTGACAACCACAAGATGCAAAGATAAATAACTGATGGTCTATGCTTTCCTTGTACTTGGTAATATAACGTATAATAAATAAGGTATAACATTCAATTCGCATTTTTTAAAAATCAAAATACATAATTTAATGCTCGAAATACAAGTCATTTATTTGATTCATCCTAATCTTTACCATTTGCTGCTTGAAAAGCCTTGTCACACTTGGAAAACACATGGCTCCTTAATACTCTCGAACTGGGCGTCAGTTGCAAGTACCACGGATAGGATGGTGACAACACAGGTGAACAAATTTTAGAGAGAGAGAGAGAGAGAGAGAGAGAGAGAGAGAGAGAGATGAAGTGTGGTGGAACGATCAATATACGTATTTGATTTTCAAAGACATAACAATTTGCACGAATGGTACACAAACACAGATAATTTTACAGCACTTTTCCGGAATTCAAATCTTATATTTTGATCAACCGATAGATGTTGAGTTATATACAAGATGAATCGTTATAAAATATGACCATAGAATTTGCTGCACTATTCATTTATCTAAAAGAACCGTTTCTCACTTATGTTATAGTCACCCTCTCAATATTGGCTATAAACAGTAAGCGCGTTTTTCGTAGAAATATATAGACATATATACCAGGTACATCTATGTTACGTTGCTTTTATTCAAACAACACTAATTATCAATTTACAAAACTCTGCATCTAGACTCATGTGAGTTATTCATGGAATTCAGATTTTTAAAAAGTCTCCTATACGTACATGTGCTAGCATATAATGTCATAACGCTGGTAGTTTGCCATGTATGGTAAAACCTGGAGCCATCAGATTTCTGGTCATCCACGTCTATGAGACAAACCAAGGGGAAAACATAAAAATTCAACTCCGAAAAAGTCCTTAATCAGAATGATGCAAATGGGTTGCAGTTTTCGACATGAATATAACCTAATTTCTATACATTGAATCAGAACATGAATCAGCTTCGTATTTCAACGAGATTTTACCTTGCAACACGTTTATACAGTTTATTGCCAGCATTAACGACCCAACGCAGACCAATTTTCTGACATTTAGTAGAATTCCCCCCCCCCACCCACCCTTGCATTACTTCTACATGCTAGAGCGGTCCATTATATGAGTTATTTGCTCTTCTTTTTGTCCTTTTGCACTAACATTATACATTTTCAGTAATTTCATTTAACTAAAATTCACGTACAGGGGTAAACAAGGAATGGATATCGTTAGCCTTATTAAATATACACATATATTAATATCGGAAAAGGTCAAACACTATTTTAATTCAAAATTAATAAGTCTTTAAAATACAGCAAAACTGTCATTAAGGTATCCCTGCCCAATTTGCTTTCCTTTTCCAATCTAGGGTAATCGGCGTCATGTAATCGACCCACGGTTTTCATTGTTTCTGTTTGCTTGACTCCTGTCACCGAGGGGGCCTGAAGCTGCTTCGCTCGTTGGTTCATCATGTTGGTCAGGAGTGTCAGTAGCCTGAAGGAGAGATTGGATTGTTTGAATCTGTGCCCTATATTGAAACAAAATATATATACACTCATTTACAGCGCTCGCGCACACACACATACACACACACACACCAATACATACCAAGTCGTCCTCTGCGTCAAAACCCTCCACTGTGTCAGGTATAGCTCTTCCTCCTGACATACCAGCTCTTCGTTCTGTGAGGAGATACAAACAAGAGAAAATGAGTGCGTCCATTTGTTTAAAGATACAAATATGTATTGTAATAAAGGGAGTGATCACTGATTGATATATTTTTTTTATTAAACAATAACGTTAAATAAATGTCAATCTACATTAATTAAGATGACAATTAAATGATGTTGAAAAAGAAGCATATCTTTAACCTGTATCCTCAAAAGTTGTTTGCATCTTGCGAATATGTGAGAGGCATGTCTTCGCATCCCACCTCTTATTTGGGTCTCTTTCCAACATGCCTAAAAGTAACTCTTTAAAACCTGGGCAGTCGAATGAAATCTGCAATGAAATTTTATTTACCACAAACTGCATTAGGTGCACCTAAGTTAGAGATGATAACAACATAATGAAAAAGCGAATAAAAAACATTGAGATTCTGTAAGAGTGATTTACACGGCTATTCAAACAAGCTGTTGCTCCACAGAAAAAAATATCCGAACTAATACACTATAAAATATACACTTAGTGAAAGCAATAGTGGACAATAAAATAGAGCAAGCTAAGTTTTGGCTGAAAAAGACTCGGTACCAATCTTCTGTATTTAATTGGAGTATCAATGTGTTTAGAAAACTATTTTAAAATTGAAAAATCAAAAAAGTAAAAACAAATCAAATACAAGGCGATAAAGTATGCGGCTGACAGTCATTAATAACATAGCTTTGCCTTTCCAGTAAAATAATCACTGACAAATTAACAAAAATGTCAAACGTTGCGCCTTAAGTTAAAATATGACTTAGCAAAGCAGATTTTAAACTCTCGCGAAGCTTTGTAACATAAGAAATGCAAACAAAAATTAAAGGACAAGCAAAAATTTCCCCTCACTCTGTCGAGGCAATGACGAACTTCTTGCCAACTATTCCAGTGATGGTTACCAAGTATCAGAAACAGAGCGCAGCATCCCAGAGACCAAATGTCCATCTTGGGGGTGCATTGGTAGGGAGGCCCGCAAACCTCTGGAGCAGCGTAGAGCCTGGTTATTCCTATCAACAATAAACATAAAAGTCCAAGAAAGCTATCCATATTACCAGATGAGATTTTTAGATGAAGAAATGGTATATCATTATTATGAACGTATACACACACTGGACAAAAGAAGTGTCACCCCTACTGAGCCAATACTATGGGGGAGATAAATGACTGTGGAATGATATGCTCCTGGTATCATTTTATTAACATCAAATTTCACAAAAAATCACAAAATGAGAACAAAATATACATTCTACCAAAATATGTATTTTCAAGTCCAAAATTAGTACTTAGTGGCATAGCCACGTGACCTAATAATAGGTGCCAGTCTACGAAGCAAGGATTCATTTAATTGTCTGATGCGTTCAGGGCTTATGGTGGCCCAAGCATGAAACACTGAATATAACAGAGTTTCTCTGCTGGTTAGACGGGCATTTGTAAAAAGTTTTGACATATCATTCCACACATTTTCTATTATGTTTGTATCCGGACTCTGGCCAGGCCACATCACCCTGCGAATGTCCTGTTGGTCAAACCAATCATCAACTGCTCTGGGCCTGTGACAAGGAGCATTGTCATCCTGGTGAACAGATGGATAATTCCTTTCACCAAACATGTTAGTAATAGATGGTAGCAAGCCTGACTCCAAAACATCGATATATTTCTAGTTATTCATGTTTCCATTAACCACTATCAATTCACCCAAGCCATGGATGCTGATGCAGCCCCACACCATGATGAATATGCTGCTCCGGGTTCGAAAATTCAGTGCATGTGGTTCAAATGCTTTACCAGCAGTTTGCCAGCATAGTA